CCAGTCCATTCATATGGAGAAAAAAAAAAAAAAAAAAATCAATTGCCCACTTTTCCCACCACGAATCAACCTCTATAAAAACTTCTTACGAGATAAACTTGGATTAGGTGCACGATTGAAATATCAAGATAGAAGGGCTGAGCCACTTTACAATGAGCCTCCCCCACTTTAAGTGCTTTTTAAACAAAATGTGCTTCAGGTCACATTTGAAACAGAAAATCTGCTGTTCAAAAGTGCAAATCGTTTCATGGATTTATTTATTTTAACTCTACTCAAGCTCCTTGTTTGCAGACACTCGGAGCAAGCTAGGCACTCAAGCAGGGCTGCTGGTGTGAGCCACAGTGCTGGCAAGGCCTGTGGGATCAGGCCCGAACTTACTGCGCTTGAGACTGTCCGTAATAATCCGGTCGCATTTCCAGGCTCCAGAGTTTTTCTTCAACGCTGCTGAAGGGATGAGAAGTCCGATGCCGCTCGTGACTTCCACTTTTCTGCACCGTCATCTCTCCGCCAGCTTTAAACAACAACGTATGGATTGGGACGCTCCGCTCCTGCAAAGCGGGTGTGCGAAGAACAGAAAGAAAAGCGGTGGGTCCGGCTGGCAGGGGCGCAGCCACCCGCCCCAGCGATTCGAGCGATATTCGGGGCTCGGCTTGAAAACTTCCCTCTAAAACCGATTTTTATTTTTCAAAGTTTGCCATCACGCCGCAGCGTCCGTAAAGCCCTGCCCTGCCCGGGGATGCCAGGCAGACGATGCTGCGGGTGGACAGACGTCAGGCCAGCCCCCTCCGCAAAGGCACCCACTCGCAGTCATTACATTAATTTATTTAGAAACAAAATTTCAGCTTGGCAAACTTGCAGGTTTTTTTTTCCCCCCCTGGACACCGAGAAACCGCACGCAGGTCCCTTTTTCATGCTCTACAACTCGTGTTTTTTTTCAGTTAAAAAAACCAAAATCAAATCAAATAAAAAAATACAGAAGAATAAATTTAAAAAAATATAGATATATCCCCCTTCTCCAGGATCCCAACTCACCTAATCCAAACGTCAAGTTTGCCAGGACAGTTTTATTTTCTGGATCAAACCGGTCCAGACAAACATCCACTTTTGAATGGTTTTCTCTTCTTTTTAATTATTATTTAACATCCTAGGATTTTATTTTAATTTCTGCATTGCTGTTACCTTGGCATCCCAACGGCTCCTGCTTCCAGCCAGACACCGAGTCGAATCCATTTCCCCCGCCCAAAAAAAGGGATTTCAAATCCTCTGGGCGGGGGGGAATAAAAAAAGAGAATCTTTTTAGTGCCGGATCCAATTCTGCTTTTTTTAAGAGGGGGAAAAAAAACAAAAAACACCCCCTTGAAGCAGAGCAGGTCACAGCAACGAGACTGCACAAACTTTGGAGAAATAAAGAAAACTGGGGGGGGAGTAGGGATTTGGGACCCAGCCCTCCGGCTGGCAGGGGCAGCATGCAGCAGGTTTCTGCCCTTCTCCCTGCCTGGGCGCGGCTTGCACAGCGAGGGGGAGGGGGGGGTTCTCCACTTTTTTCCCCCTGTTTTTTAATTATTATTTTTTTTGCAATTTTTAATATTTTTTTGTCAATTTCGTTTTGGGTGATTTTAATTTTTTTTTTTTTTGCCGTGCAATGCAATGCTTTTTTTTAATTTTTATTTTTTTTTGCATTTTGGAGCATTTTGGGGGGGCCGTTCCCATGCAAAAA